ACTACCTGTCCAGCACTCCACACTTTATCAGAGACCAGAAAAGAGATGAACATAACTCTGGTCCTATCAGCATCCATAACCAATATGGGAAAAAAAACACCAAAAAAATCTTCAATAATTAACAACCTGCTTCTCATACATTATAGAACTTTTTCCCGCTTCAAGAAAAATGATAATGTCTGTATTTTCTTTTATTCTCCTTTGATCCAACTTAAATATGGATTCACAACATGTCAGTGACTTGTCTACCCATATATATCTATATCTAATATATCTATATCTAATATATCTATATCTGTATCTATATCTATATATATAATATATCTAATATATCTGTATCTGTATCTGTATCTATATCTATATATCTATATATCTATATCTATATATCTATATCTAATATATCTGTATCTGTATCTATATCTATCTATATCTCTATATCTCTATATCTATATCTATCTATACACACACACACACACACACATCAAACAATTTAACAGACAGTTTCCCACAAATCAGCAATATTTTGAGTTGGGAAACAGCAGCCTTTTAACATAGAGTTAAGCATACAGCATTAGAAAAGATCTAACAGCATTGTACAACTCATCATTTGTGATTTGTTTCATTCTGCCGCGAAGTCGCATTTCATTTCAACAATAATTTGTTTCTCGTTCTATTTGGGCAGGTGCTTCCCTCCCGCCCCCCAAAAGCAATATTTCAAATGAAATTGGTTTTGAAGGAACTTTTTATGAATATACACAATAGAAAAGGCCCCAATTAAATTCCAACAAAATGTTGCCATTTTCAGTAAACAAAGGTCAGGTTTTATGCTAAGAGACCGGCCTGGAAATTAATTACCACCCTGATAGATGTCAAAACACATTTTTGAGAGGGAATAGCATTCCATTGCAAGTGTGGGTTTTATCTGATAGGATACAAAAAAGAAAAAAGAAATCAAATCAGTATTCTTTACCAACTACATTTATTCAACGCCCCTTAGAGAAATCAAAAGGCCTTGTTAGCCTTTTCATCTTCTTTTTCTTTCTTCTCTCTTTCTCTTTTTTGAAACTAAGTGGAATCTTCGCCAAGCAACCTGTGTTTAGTGAGCCAGAAAACAAGCACAGAAAACAAGAAGGTGGAGGGTGTTCCTGTTTTGAGAAAAGCAGGTGTCATCTCCTCACACAACTAAATAATATATGAGGTGTTACATACAGTGTTTCTCAACCTTGACAATTTTAAGGCATGTGGACTTCAACTCCCAGAATTCCACAGCCAGCAATGCTGGCTGTGGAATTCTGGGAGATGAAGTCCACATGCCTTAAAATTGTCAAGGTTGAGAAACACTGTGCTACAAAAAAAGCACACCCCATCCCCATTTCTCCCAGTAACTAGAGGAAGTATACCTGTGAAGGTTCTCGCAGTTAGCGTATATAACAGCATTTACACACAGAACAAAAAAGTCATTATGATGTTCTTTCAGCCCAAGATAGTCATTACCAGCTGATCAAAACCCATCAAGGAAAAGATTTAAAAGAAAAAATAAACTACCGAAGAAATTGGCATTTGAAGTAGCAATTTTCAGATGTCACAAAACTCCGAGCTGTTTCACAATTTATATTTTGTGTTGAAGCATGCAAAACATTTTAACCTCCTTGCTTTATGGTGCCCAAAATGTTTATCCTACTCCCCTCCCCAAAAGGGGAAAGTTGAGAGAGAGGGAGAGAGACAAGGAGACGGAGAAAGGAAGAGAGGAAAGGGGAGAGAGAGGGGGCAGAGGAAGAGGGGAAGGGGGAGGGAGGGAGAGGGAGAGGGGGAGGGAGGAAGGGAGGGAGAGAAAGAGAGAGAGAGAGAGAGAGAGAGAGAGAGAGAGAGAGATATTAGTGTAGAGGTTAATGCATCAAACTAGAAACCGGAAGACTAGTGTTACCAACTGGGTGGTCTCCTGCCCAACTGCGCTAGTTTTTGAGATCAATTGTGGGAAAGTTTTGGCATTTGCATGTTGTGTTCTTTTGGACTACGTTTGCTTTGAGCTACAAAAATTTGGGGCACCTCACAATATTGTAGGAGACCATGCATTCTACAGTAGTAGCCAAAATTGTGGAAACCTTTTGGGAAAAGTGTATTTTTGAGGTTTGATGGCTAATAACACCACTTTTTTGGAGTAGTACCATAAAATTATATATCAATGGAAAGATAATTTAATCAAGAATGTAGTGCAGCAAAGTTTGTTCAATTATCTGTACTGTATTCTATGAAAGGTTATAGCCAAATAACCACAAAAAGGAAGCACAACTTGCTTAGGTTGATATCAGGTAGCTTTCCTTCATCTGATTGTAGCCAATGAGCAGGAGTGTTTAGAGAGCCAATCAGGTGTCATCTTGTTTTGGCAATGAGCCAATCAGATCACAGTAGGATTCAGTTATTGATGTCATGTATTGAAGCTGAGAGGAGGACATTTGTTAGTGTGTTATGTGATCGCTATCAAGCTGGTTGGGTTTTTTTGTGTTCTTTCATTTAGTGAGCTTGTAAAACGTAATAAAATTAAAGTAATGGTGCGAAGAGTTGACTGGTTGCTCAGAAAATGATGTAAAATAGTATTATTAAGTGAACAAGGCTACAGTTATAAAGAAATTAGAAGAAAATGGGTGGAAACTTAACCAAAGGTGGCATTTCTACCGTATACTTTTCCCAAAAGGTTTCCACAATTTTGGCCACTACTGTAGTCCTGTCTTAACCATGAAGCCATCTGGGTGATCTTGGCACAGTTTTCTCTCAGCCCTGAGAAGAAGGCAGTAGCAAACCATTTCCAAAACCTTGTCAAGAAAATTGCAAGGACTTAACCAGAAAGTTACACCAGAAGTCAATGCTGACTCAAAAGCTATATACTATATATATTATTTGTTTTCTGAGGTTATTATGTATATATTATGTATATATGTATATACACACACACAAATCTGAGCATTTGTATGTCATATATAATTGCCAACAATTCTGCTAAATAATATTCTGAAATCTAAAAATATCTCACAGCAAATTAATTTTTTACAATACCAGCTTTTTATGTTAATGATCAAAGAAATGAAAATAATGAATCTTGCAAAGTGGAAGAATTCTGAATTAGTAAATAAGCTGGGGAAGTGATTAGCATATAAACTAAGAAAAGAAAGTGAGAAGGAATAGATTAAAATTACAAAGTAGGAATGTTATAATGGATGATATGGATATGCAAAGAATATTATATCAGTATTGTACAAAACTATACAAAGGAGGAGAAATTTCCCCAGCAAAAGTGGATGAATGTTCAAAGAAACAAAATTTACCTAAAATGATGAATAAACAAAAGCAGATGGAATGGACCTATAACAGTAACGGAATTTTGTGAGGCTACAAAAAAAAAAGGAAAACTCCAGGCTTATGCAGATTGCCAACCTCCTATTATAAATATTTTGAAGATGAACTGTTATAATATCTTCAAAAAATGATGAATTCTATTCTGGATAGTGTTAGGATACAAGAAAGTTGGTCAACTGCAAACATAGCATTAATTCCTAAAGAAGGTGAAGACCTGACTATCAAAAAAGATTACTGACTAATATCTTTATTGAGTAATAATTTTTAAAAAATATTATGACTTTAGCTAAAAGGTTGAAAAGTGTCTTGCATGATTATATACGTGAAGATCAATGTGCTTTTTGCCTAAAACATGGTTAAGGGGCAATATTAGAAATATTTTCTTAACGTATTAAAATATTCATATCATCTTGAAAATCAAACCACACTGAAGTTTCTGGACTTGGAGAAAGCATTTGATAACTTGAATGTGTTAGGGATGCTTTCCTCTTTTTTCCATTGGCAATGCCATCAAATCTTCATTTACAGAAAGACTGTGGTTGGGTTAGACTTCTTTTTAAGGATATAAGGGAAGGAAAATGAAAGGAAAAACTACTGCAGCTCATAAATGCAACACCATGCAGGTAAACTTTGTCTCTTGGTCTAGACTAGGGGTAGGCAACCTCGGCTCTTTTATGGACTTTAACTCCCAGAATTCCTGAGTCAGCTATGCTGGTCTAGAAGCATCTTTTTGTGCCTTTTTATTAGAACTAGTTTGTTTTTGTTTTAATTGAAATCACTTTTTATTCGCTCCAAATACCAATGGGGCAAACCATTGGAGATCTGTCTATCCTCCAAGATGTCTGGATCAGGAGACAGGTAAGTTCTGCTACTATTGATAATGAGTGGGTTATCCTTGGGTGTGTGGGAGGCTACTTTGTTGGGATTGTTTGTTTTAATCTTGTCAGCTGCCCAGAGTCATCTGTGAAAGATGGACATCTATATAAATCATATAAATAAATTATACATTTTAAAAAATAGGTTGATTGCATCAATTGCTATCTAAAATTGCTAGTATCGTTGGTTCAACTTATTCACTGCAAATTAAAAAATATTTAATCTGGATTTGAGCTGTGGAACAAATTATACTTTTTAATAAGTCCAGACTGGTTCCTTAATTAGCTACTATGTTAGGAAGGCAGGAAGATACTCCTAATAAGTTAGAACGTAATTTATCTGAAGCATTTCTATAGCACTCTACATTTCATTTTGTATTTGAGGGGCCTGTGTAATTCATTCAATCATTTAGAACATGCAATAATTACTATTTTGCTACTTAAATGTGTACACAAGTTAAAACCATAGGAAGACTACAATCAGCTTGCCAGGTCAGGCCATTACATAATAGAGAATGTATTCAATGTAATGTCAGGATTAATTACTGTATATTAACAGTTTTTCCTATTAATGTTATTCATTTACTCATCCAGTCTCTAAATTATGCTATAAGTGAAAGCCTCAGAGCAATACACAAAGTCAACTACTATGAAGTCTCAATGCAAACTCTTCCACAATGAGCCTTGTTTTCCATTCAGTGAAGAAGCATTTTTTATCACTCCTTATCAATGCTTTTTTCCCCCTTAACGAAATAGAAAAGCAAATTGTGTTACCTCTCTTAATACTGTGCTTTTGTAACCTCGGTAGAGTCCTAGGATACCCTAAAAAAATCAACAAAGAAAACCAATCAACTCCTGCAAATTGTTAGGGAAGGCTGAAAACATATTGAGGATTAGATGATAAGCAGAGCAGCTTTACTAAGGATAATGTAATGGCTTCCAGGAAATTGACAATATTGATTATAAACACACTACCCATTGACTTCCTGAGTTTTATCTCAGTTTTGAATGTGTTCATCATCTAGAACTGGACATTGAAGGGATAATATAAAGTTAGTAACCTAGAAGAACAAAGAGAGAAAGAAATCTATCGCTGACTCTTATAGTCACTGGCTACTCAAAATACATACCATAAAAGAAAGTAAAGCTACTCCTGGACTTATGACTGTAATGGAGCTCAACACTTCCCTCTTAAGTCATGATGGTTGTATGTTGAGGCACCCAGGTAACTGACCTGATTTAACAATCTTCTTTTGTAGTGGTCATTAAGCAAACAATGCAGTTGTTAAACAAATGTCACAATCCTATGGGCATTTCTTTGCTGGAAACCAGCCAAAAAAAGCAACTTGTAACTCACATCATGTGACATGGAAGGCTGCAACCAGCCATGAAGGTCAGCTGGTTGCCAAGTGTCCAAAATGCAATCATGCGACCATAGGATATGTGTGTGTGTGTGTTTGTGTGTGTGTGTGTGTGTGTGCACGCGCATTGTGTTGTGCTGCCATCAAAACTCCAGAATTGGGTCACAACCTTTGAGGTGTCCATCCTAATGAAGTGACTGGTTGTTAAGCAAAGGCTACTTGTAAGTTAAATTTAGGAAAAATTAAATATTTAACAGTGTTGCCTCACAGCAAAATGGGCAGCAAAGAAATTTAATAAATAAAAATAAACTTTACAAAATTCATACTGATTTCATTGTCAGGGTCGGAGTGTTAAATTTCCTATTTTCTTTTTATTGTCAGTTACTTTCCAATTTAATAATTAAAATACTCCCTTATTTAATAACGTGAAAACAATTAAATTAAATTAAAATGATTGTAATAATTAAACAATTAAAATAAATAGCTTAAGTTATTTGGCTTAACTTAATTCAGTTAAATTCTAATTAAAAACAAAAACAATATGACATCCTGCAATGCATCAGTCTCCAGCATCTTTTCTCAAGGCCAAGAATTCCCTATAAGTCAGTGTTTCTCAACCTTGACAATTTTAAGGCATGTGGACTTCAATTCCCAGAATTCCACAGCCAGCATTGCTGGCTGTGGAATTCTGGGAGTTGAAGTCCACATGCCTTAAAATTGTCAAGGTTGAGAAACACTGCTATAAGTACTCTTAAGAATTTTTTTTTTAAGATAGTGCCTCAGCTAAGTGTCCTCAGCTAACTACTGTAATAAAGAAAAAGAAAAATTTTGGAAGGTTAGAGCCAATATCATTATACAGTTACCATTAGACAAAGAGAGTCACCATTATCTAAAAATATATGCACATATGCATGGAAAGCATAAAAGCAAACATCTAAGGAAGCTAGTTGAAGAGACAAATGAACAAGTAGCAGTTAATCCATTAATGTCCCAGCAATGCCAAATATAACAGCTGGAAAAGACAAAGTGCTTCTTATCTGGATAAGAGCTTCCCCTTCTTTCATCCTGGTGTTTGGGCAGTTCTAGTAAACGAGAGATAACTGGAGATATAAGTGTGTATAAGTGTGTGGGTGCCTACAGTATTTTGTTAAACCAACAATGCTTTATTGCTGAAAGAAGTTACTGCTCTTATTACTTATTGCAAGATCCTAACTGATTCTTATTTGGAACCCTAATTGAAAGTTAGGGATAAGTATCTCACTGAACTATCTCTCTCTCTCTCTCTCTCTCTCTGTGTGTGTGTGTGTGTGTGTGTGTGTGTGCATGCTTTCCTTGAATAAATTGCCGCTGTTCACTAACAACTCTGCACACTTAACATCTTCAAGGCACCCAATCTCAACTGTCTACAAGTTGCAGATCAGAGCAAGTGAGAGCTGGGAAGTATCTGCCCCAATGGGAAGCTTAAAGAATAAGGTTTCTCTATATTGAAACAGATACATATAAATATTTTTCAGGGGACAGTTTGAGAACTTTGTAATCCCGTCTAGAAGAAATTAGGCAGCGGTAGGACGAACTGTCCTGTGGGAAGAGGACTAGAAGGGGTACAGGTAAAAATTCTCCCAAACTGGTGCTTTGAAGTTTGTCATCTAACTCAGTGTTTCTCAACCTTGACAATTTTAAGGCATGTGGACTTCAACTCCCAGAATTCCACAGCCAGCATTGCTGGCTGTGGAATTCTGGGAGTTGAAGTCCACATGCCTTAAAATTGTCAAGGTTGAGAAACACTGATCTAACTCATGGCAGCCATATTGTAAATGGCCAAATCACCCCATGCCCATTTTTCAAAAGTGTTCACAATATCTCCTCATGGTGATGTACCCTTCAACCCTTCAAAGTTAGGGTTTTCTTTCCTGAATATACTATTTATTAGCTCCAATAAGTTAGAGAGCCCCTTCACACACACACACACACACACACACACACACAAACACGGCTTCTCTTCAGCCTTACCTCTTCATAGACAGTTTGGGAAAGGATCCGTAAGGTACTGGAGGATGGGGACACTTGTGCTCTTTGTTTCACAACTTCAGCAGGAACCCGTATTAGACAAGCAACCTGAAAAAACCAATATAATTTAGAGTAAGACCTTGGTGGAGCTGCAAGGCCTGGCAAGGATTGCAACGGCCAAGAAACCTATGGCCTTAATGTGAGCAGTGGAGGACTAACACTGTTTACTAGAGGAATCAGATGTCAGAAGGAAGGCTGAGAAAGTATCTACAGACCCCTCACTTCCTGGATATAAACTGTTTCAACTCCTCCCCTCGGGATGCCACTATAGGGCATTGCACGCCAAAACAACTAGACACAAAGACCTAATTCACACAGCACTGTCTTATGCCTAAGCATATTTACCCATCCTGTATGGCTGTAGTAATAGTATTATCCTTCTCTTGATCTCTATTACCCCATCTTGTTGGCACCATCTTACGATTATCATTACTTTGTTGCTTTGCATTTAAATTGAGAGCTTCTGCACTGGAGAAAAATTCCTTGTGTGTATAATCACACTTGGCCAAATAAAGCATTTTCTATTTCTATTTCATTCCATTCCATTCTATTCCTATGCTATTCCTATGCTATTTCTATTTTATTCTATTTTATTCTATTCTATTCTATTCTATTCTATTCTATTCTATTGTTTCACAACTTCAGCATGAACTCGTATTAGACAAGCAACCTTGTCTATTATTCTATTCTATTATTATTCTATTCTATTATTATTCTATTCTAGTCTGTTCTGTTCTGTTCCGTTCCATTCTACTCCTATGCTACTCTTATGGTAATTCTATCCCAGTTATGGCGAACCTTTTAGAGACCGAGTGCCCAAAAACTGGCCCTGCCCCCGCTCCACCCCCTGCCCTGCCCCGCCCCTGCCCCACCCCTGCCCCGCCGCCACCCCGTCCCCCACCCTGCCTGCATGCAGGGCCACTCACTGCTTCTAGGACCCACCGCAGATCGCCCAGGCAGCCCAGCAGCGCCATGGCAGCCACATCCTCTGCCGGCGCCCCGCAGCATCAACTGTGCGGGAAAGGGCATGAGGGCAGAGTCTTGACTACGCTGCCTGGCTGCCATGTCCTTGGCTGCGCTGCTCCGTGTGGGCCACGCTCGGGGGCAACTCTCCTCCAGGGGGGCTGCTGGTGAGGAGGGGGTCATGGAGGGAGGCGAGGCTGGGGCAACATGTGCCCACAGAGAGGGCTCCGAGTGCCGCCTCTGGCACGCGTGCCATAGGTTTGCCACCACTGCTCTATCCTATACTAATTCTGTTCTATTCTATTCTATTCTATTCTATAGTGCTCTTGGACAGGTGATGATATGGCAGTGAGATAGGCGCAGTGAGTGTAATGGGTAGCCTTGCCCAGAACTTGATCTCTGACTGCTCCCCTCTGGCTATGGACATATCTCACCTCCCCATGTGTGATTCATATTCCGGTGTTCAGAAAAACAAACAAAGCAAACAAAAACAAACCCCAATTAACTTTTCTCAAGTTAATTCTATAGAACGCTCTCTTCTTACAAGCTTCTCAAGGTAAACTGAGTTCCACCGCAGATAGAACGGTGACCATTTCACTTACATCAGAACTCTTCAGCTTATTGCATTTATTTTATTGTACATGTCACAGAGAGCTAATGGCAAAGAACAGCCATTCTGTGTGCTTTCAAGCTACAGGCTACCTACTGAAATAAATTATTCTCACTGATTTTGACCCAGTTACTTGAGGACTCTTGAAAATCAATCCTCAATAGGTTGTCTAGATGTATTGGGCCACTTATCTTATTCCTTATATGACTGATGGAAAACATGGGTTTTCCTGCATTGAATGCTTGCCTAGTAATCAACCTACTAACCTATTTTTTTTTTATTTGATATTTGTCTTTGGCAATGAAGCATCAGTATGGTCATAAAATCATAGCATGGAAAGAATTTAAAGGTCAGCTAGATGGAAACCCTGCCCAATCAAAGAAACTACTGCAATAGCATCCTTGACAGACAGTCACTGAGCATAAATTTAAACACTTCCGAGAGAGAGAGAGAGAGAGAGAGAGAGAGAGAGAGAGAGAGAGAGAGAGAGAGAGAGAGAGAGAGAGAGAGAGAGAGAGAGAGAGAGAGAGAGAGAGAGAGAGAGAGAGAGAGAGAGAGAGAGAGAGAGAGAGAGAGAGAGAGAGAGGGAGAGAGGAGAGAACTATCTCCCAAATCTATCTGTTCCACTTTTAAATGGTACTTACCAATAGGAATCTTTTTCTGATGCTCAACCAAAACCTTGCACTTTAAGTCTGTTATCCCTTATACTGTTTTCTGAAGCAATTTTATATGAATTGAATGATTTACCTATATCTTCAGGTCCTTGTTTTCCTATCTTTTTTTGAGGATTGCCTTAAACATTTCATTATTTAATATATGGGCCAATACTGCCATCTAGTGTTCACAATTGCAATACTTCATAAGCACAGATCTATTTTTGTTGCGAAAAGTTTGACACTAACTCTTTCAAATGTTTGCAGGGACAATGGAAAAAAAAACCTACATCTACCGCTATACTATTAAAACTCTCGACATTACCATTAACTGGGCAAAACAGAACATCACAGGGCAACAATTTTTGAATCAAGCTACCTCAAAAGGGCTTAGATACAGAATGCATCCAAAATCAGAGAACCGTAACTCCCAAGGAAATGAAATTTGGGGAAGTTGTGGTTGCTTCAGGCTGCTGCTATAGTCACATGATAGCCATTTTGAACAGTCTGTGACAATTTCCCAGCCAGTCTTGCAATCCCTTGCTCCCACCCCCACCAAACAAGCAAAGAATTGACTCATCATGTGGCTCTTAAAAGAAACAAGGGTTGTACGTGTGAAAAATGGTCATAATTTACTTTTTTCAGTGCGGTTATAAGCTTGAACGGTCACTAAATGAACTATTGTAAGTTGAGGGCTACCTATATATTGGAAAGCATTCATAACTGAAAGTCCTGAATTGCATTGCCCACTAAAGGAACGAGGCAATGAATCTAAATAAAAATAACAGAAAGCCACAGAGGCCACATGCAACCTCATTTGACCTCCTAAATTAAGCTGCCAAAAACTCAGCAGAAAAAGTACCAATTTTCACCTATTTTCTGCAGAAAGTAAGGGACAAAGTAAGCATGTTAAGCATTCACAATGTTTCAAACCATCCAATTTGCCCTTTAAATCCCCTACAAATCTCACTCCAATACAGGAAACAACAGAAAATTCAACACTGCTATGTTACCAGCCATGCATCTTTTAGCTTCTGGATTCTAAAATATCATATTTTACAATTAATATATTAAATATTGATAATATATTTACTCCTCATCCCTTCAATTATTTCTGCTGTCTGGTTTGGTGGAGGACACTTCACCTTGAGCTTTATGGACACTCAACCAGAAGATTTGACTCTCTACCAAAAAAAAAATTCCAAGATTTTTCAAAACAGGTATGTCTCAAAAACATAGTTTTCATCAGTAAAATTTTATCATTTAACCTGCTTGGCCTGAACTTGTTATCACAGGCCAGTATCATCAATCATTCTTATCACACCAACTCATCACCTAATCAGAGGAGACAGACTGAGATGTGATCAGAAAGCATGATGTGAAAGTTAACAATGAAGCTGCTGCTTCATGACCCAGACAAAAATGTGTACACTGTGTCCTGACATTGCCAGAATAAAGCAATCCTTCCTCTTGAAGTAATAAGCTGGTCTGCAGTAGTAGTTGTGGTCTTGTGAGACTCTGGAACTGCATCTCCTCATAGCCATGGAGGTCCACTGGGCCACTTAGTCCAACACATTTTGCAAGGTTATCATTTTAAGAATAAATTTGAAGCCCTGGAAGAAGCCTTAGAACAGGGGTGTCAAACTGCCGGCCCGTGGGCCGGATGCGTCACACCAAAACCACGCCCACTCCATTGCCAGCAATGGGGAAAAAGTCGCAATATGTTGCGACACATCACGTGACGTCGCGAGTTTGACACCCATGCCGTAGAATAAATGTCTGTCTGTCTGTCTCTCACTCTGTCTCTGTCTCTGCTTCTCTCTCTCTCTCTCTCTCTCTCTCTGTGTGTGTTTGTGTGTTTGTGTGTGTGTGTGTGTGTGTGTGTGTGTGTGTGAGTGAGTGAGAGAGAGAGAGAGAGAGAGAGAGAGAAACTGTAGTCACACTAGTCTCGGCATGAAAGCCAGCTTAGCTATTCTGAGAATAATAATAATAACAACAACAACAATAATAATAATAACAACAATAATAATAATAAAGTTGGAAGGGACCTTGGAGGTCATCTAGTCCAACCCCCTTCTCAGGCAGGAAACCCTATACCATTTCAAACAAATGGCTGTCCAGTCTCTTCTTTAAAACTTCCAGTGTTGGAGCATTCACCCCTTCTGGAGGCAGGTTGTTCCACTGGTTAATTGTTCTCACTGTCAGGACGTTTCTCCTTAGTTCTAGGTTGCTTCTCTCCTTGAGTAGTTATGGTCCCAAAAATTTTGAAGGGCCTTTGGGTGAAGAAGGTTGGGGAATCATAGTTCAATAGCTCTTCTGAGGGTTAAACTAAAAGGCCAATCATAAAAAAACAAACCTTGAAAATGCTAACTGTAAGGGAGAGGGTAAAGACTTAAGTTACAGCTACAATAGGAAAAAGCAGGGAAAAGAACAAAGAGCTAAAGTCTACTACTGAACCAAGACTGCAATCTCAAAATAGTCTACAAATATATATCCGTATCTACTACCTAGCCAGGGCTACCTGTAACTACTATACCATTCATCACTAGTTTAAACATAACCTTTGGGAGTTTGGAGGTTAGGAGGAAGCAACAACATCTGCAGCATAGTAAATCCTATAAACTGAAGTAATAGGGGTTGTAAAAAACAGAAAGGGAACGCGCCTGAATATAATTCCCATAAAAACCATGTGGGCAGCTGCTTAGATAGCTGACAGTTCTTAATTTGCTGGTTTGGGCCTTTAATTGTGTGATGAATCTGCTGGTGTTGCTTGTAACTCTCTGCTTCCATTCATCTTGATTTACAAGCAATTTCCAGCTGCAGCCATAATTTGAGTCTCCTCCCAATATAACTGCCCTTCATTTTCTCCAACAGGCTCTAGTGCAGACATGTCAAACTTGCGACGTCACGTGATGCCGCGCAACGTATCGGGACGGTTTTGCCATTGCGCGGCTTCTGGATGACACGTTCGGCCCGCAGGCCAGCAGTTTGACACCCCAGCTCTAGTGGCAGAATCTCATTCCCCCCCCCCAGCACTTTTAACATTGTTAACTACTCTCTTGCACAAGAGTTCAGCATAATCCTAGCATCTTTATAACGTGAACAGGCCCCAAGGTTTATGAATATTTCAGAATCTGTTGTGATTCGTTCAAAAGTCACTGCTCATATCCTATCAGTCTCTTTGTCATACATTGGATCATAGACACCTGCTTTATGCAGCTCAGGTTCATACAATGTTCAAAACCAAAGCTAAGCTACATTATGGCTTGGGGCAGGATGTGAAGTCAGCCATTATGGCATATAAACCATACCTTAAAGTTTAGGATCTTGTTCAAACCAGATAAATGGTTGACTAATGCAATGATTGCTTAATAAATGTTTAATTCATAGACCTCATTTGGTTTAATATTTACTGTTTTATCATAAAAAATAAAATACAAAACATTAAAAACAAACAAAATGAAACAAAACAAAAGCATACATTCAACCCTAACAACAACAAAAAGGAAAAAAAATAGTGTACAAAAAAAAGAGGAAAAAGTGATCAATTAAATTTAACATTTAACCTGTGGGTGTTAAAAGAAAAGAAAAAGCAGTAAATTCTCCTCTGCCTTTTTGTATTTTGTATTTATATTTTATATTTATAGTTATATATTATATATTTATATAATTATATATTATAAAATAATATATATTATTATTTTTATTTATTTACACACATATGTGTGTGTAAAAGGGGAGGAGAATTTACTGCTTTTTCTTTCAACACCCAACCAGGGCAGACCCTACATGTTAAATGTTAAATTTTATTGATCACTTTTTCCTCTTCTTTTGTACACTATTTTTTTTCCTTTTTGTTGTTGTTAGGGTTGAATGTATGCTCTTGTTTTGTTTCATTTTGTTTGTTTTTACTGTTTTGTATTTTATTTTTTATGATAAATCAATAAATATCAAACCAAATGAGGTCTATTAATTAAATATATAAGAATTATATATCAATTATATAATATACACATACATACATGCATGCATACATATACACACACACACACACACACACACACACACACACATCAGTGGTGGGATTCAGCCAGTTCGCACCACTTTGGCAGAACCGGTAGTTAATTTTTTGTGGCCCAGGCCCAGAATGGACTTCCGGAAGAGGCATTCACACAGAGAACCATTTGTTCACATATTTGAATCCCACCACTGAAAACAGAAGAAAAATCAGTCAATGGGTTATTTAAAAAAAATACCTCATTTTTGTTGGATTCCTATAATATGCTAAAACACAAATCCTGCATTCATACAACATAATAATCCAAAACCAAGCTATATTGTGAATGAAAGAGTTAAGCTTTTTCACTATAGTGTCTATAGTGACTACAGGTTGTCCTCAACTTACAACCATTCCATTCAGTGACCATCTGAAGTTACAGCAGCACTGAAAAAAGTAACTTATGACTGTTTTTTTTTCACACTTAGGGCCATTGCAGCATCCCCAAGGTCCCGTGATCAAAATTCAGATGCTTGGCAACTGGTTCATATTTAATGACGGTCGCAATGTCCTGGGATCATGCGATCACCTTTTGTGACCTTCTGACAAGCAAATCAATGGGGAAGCCGGATTCACTTAACAACCGTCTTACTAACTGAACCACTGCAGGGGGTTCACTCAACCGCTGTGGCAAAAAAGGTCTAAAATGGGATAAATCTCACTTAACAATGGTCTTGCTTAGCGACAGAAATTTTGGGCTCAATTGTGATCGTAAGTTGAGGACTACCTAGATATAATGACTCTCTGGGTTTCAGGCTGATCCCAGGCCATCTGGAACCTTCTGTGGGCAAAGCATGCTCTGGGTCACTCAGCCGTGGAGCCTCCTTAAAATAGAGAGCCTTGCGATTCGTAGTTGAGCAGTTTCAAGGATCACTTGCCTGTTTCTCCTCCAACAGAAAGCTGCAAGATAGAAGTCAGGTCTCTCCTGATGAGAATTCACAAGGAGCTGCCAATAAAAAAAGCCTGCTATCCTATCCAGCTCAATCAGAGCAATATATAGAGTAGGGCCATGATTTTGCAATGCACTAGAGACATTCTGAGAACATAAAACAGCAATTTCACAGGAACCTAAGCTTGTGCCTGCATCTTATTACTACATATCTATATACCAGCCATTTGTTACAGTCCAACAACAATTAAAGTGTGGGGAGGGAAGCGGTGCTGAAAGTTGAGGCCTGCTTACCAAATAATAGTCTTTTCCTGTGGTTATGGCTTGATTAAAGTTTAATGACTAATCAATAAAGCTATAATTACAATTTTTACTCTTCTGTGTGCAATTTGGGTCACAAAGAAGAATCAATCAAAGAGTTCAATAGCATTTGGCAGGGGAGAAGGGAATGAGAAATTCTCATCCACTGGTGCCAGCTCTGAGACCATCACACCATGGCTCCAGGTTCCTGGCACAGCTAATGGCAACCAGTAAATTAAGAGAAAAAAAATTACAACCCATCTACCATTTGTCCATTCTAACTAAATGGCCAGGCAAGTATATGGAGGTAATATTGATATCCAATAAGCTGAAGTGGGCTATACTGTGGGTAGGTGATCTCTTCCTGGAGGATGCTTATTGGTGGGAAGAAACAGGTCCATATATCTCTCTAGATAGCCTTAGTAATAAGAAGAGGCATTGCAGATTTACAACCAGGCCAATGTTTTTCAAGCTCAATAACTTTAAGATGTGTGGACTTCAACTCCCCGAATTCCTCAACTAACATACTGGCTGTGGAATTGTGGGAGTTGAAGTCCACGCAACTTAAAGTTGCTGAAGTTGAAAAACATTGAACTAGGCCAGGGGTGTCAAACTGCCGGCCTGCGGACTGGATGCGTCATGGCGAAACCACACCCAATCCATTGCCGGCAATGGAAAAAAAATCACGATACGTCGTGACACGTCACATGACGTGGCAAGTTTGACACCACTGAACTAGGCTATCAACCCAGCCATTCCTAAAATGGAATTGTGTGGATTGATTTATCCATACTCTTAACAGCTTCAGAGAAGGACTATTGCAATGATACAGTATGTCATATGTCTGATTAACGAAACACTAAAAAGGACTTTCAGGCATATTTTCTCCTAAAAGCATTTATTAATGTTACTGATACGTCAGCACAATATGGAGGAAATGCTTAGGACTGGCTTCTTTTCCGCTATGCATATATTTCTAAGCATTTCCCTCCCACCTTTCTTTGGGGTCACGGTTCACATCTTCCAATCAACTTGGAAGATGTGATTTACTTCCGGTTTCTTTTCCCCTTCTGCCTGGTTTAACTATAAAAATGCCAGACAGCTCTGCATGTTGTCAAAGCAAGAATATACAGTATTTGCAGCATTGACACAGTAGATATATACGGTATGTCTTTCTCGGTATTGATAAATCCGTGTTTTATTACTGCTGTTGTACTATTATGCTGAGGTACCTTGTGGGGTAGTGATTTAAGACAAGGCCATTTCATAGAAGAACCACAATTATGGATCTTTTTTCTAGGAGACACAGTTGACCCTGGTGCTACTGAATTTTAGTTATCTTCTACAATCCTATCTACTCTCTCTGGAACTGAGATGTAACTGTCTATTTAGAATTGAGATGTAGCTGCTAAGTACACTGTCACGAGTGTATGCTTTAATTATTTTGATGTTATATAATCATTATCTTATACATTACTACCCCGTTACTCCAGAAGGTAGGAAAAATCGTAACAATGGGGTTGTTTAAGTACATTTCACTAAACTTTTACTTACTACTTCTCCAAAGGAGGCAGCCATCATATGAATTATTGGAGCAAAATACGGAGAAGCATCTGTGTGCAGGACAGCTTTCGTATATTCATAAGTGACAAAAAAGGCAGCAGCTGAAATACAAAACGGAATGTCTTTTAAGTCCCCTAAGAGTCCTTATGATTACATACAATGTTTGTACAATATACAGTAAATATCAAAAGAAGATGATCCCCTTTGTTTGTAGGAACCATCATATTTACAATTATTTTCCATAGTATTATGCCTCTTTTCCCCCATTCCAGTTTTTTTTAACCAGCCATGCTGCTATGATAGTCATTTTGTGAAGGAGCAAGCCTTCTCTATGATAATCCTCATCATGTTGTCAAATTGTCTGACATATCCAACAACAAAGATGACTAGGTCCCGTGCTGTCTCTAACACACAATCTTCCAGAGATGGAATTTCAGTAACCCAATCTTTCTTTTTTTCCCCAAGTCAGAAGAATCCAAAAATGATAAAACTAAAAATGATAAGTTTAAAATAGGAAGACATGATAAGACAACTAGAAAAGCCAAATGATTGTTTTTTTTGGAAATAAAACATATACCAACAAACAAAAAGTGGGACATTTGGGAGCCAACCATATGATGCTTTCTTGACATGTGGAGGCTGTGAGGTCCTGGATCGGGAAGAACAGCCTTCAGCTGAACCCTAGTAAGACTGAATGGCTTTGAGAGTTAGGAGTATCCAGATATACTGGTTTCTCCTGTTATTTTGTACAGTACTTTTAGCATTACTTAGCTGCCCAATGTCACTACAGTGAGGTGGGCAGCAATATGAATTTAATACAATTAACTTCAAGAAATCCTCGACTTATGATAATTGGGATAAGAATTTCCATTGCTAAGCAAGTTGATTGTTAAGTGAATCAGCCTGATTTTTTTTTGTCCAACAGCTGTTAAGTGAGTCACTGGATCGCACAGGCATTAAACAAATCTGTCTTCTCCCATTGACTTTGATTATTAGAAGCCATCTGGGAAGGTCGCAAACAGCAATCTCATGATCCCAGGATGCTGCAACTATAGTATTTAATAATAATAATAATAATAATAATAATAATAATAATAATAATAATAATAATAATAATAATAATAATAATAATAATAATAATAATAATAATAATAATAATAATAAAGTTGGAGGGGACCTTGGAGGTCATCTAGTTCAACCCCGTGCTCAGTCAAGAAACCTATACCATTTCAGACAAATGGCTGTCCAGTCTCTTCTTAAAAAATGTCCAGTGTTGGAGCATTCACAGCTTCTGGAGGCAGGTTGTTCCACTGGTTAATTGTTCTAACTGTCAAGAATTTTCTCCTTAGTTCTAGGTTGCTTCTCTCTTTGATTATCTTCCTTCCATTGCTTCTTGTCCTGCCTTCAGGTGCTTTGGAGAATAGCTTGACTCCCTCTTCTTTGTGACAGCCCCTCAAATATTGGAACACTGCTATTATGTCCTCGTCCTTCTCTTCATTAGACTAGATATTCCCAATTCCAGCAACAATTCCTTATATGTTTTAGCCTCCAGTCCCCTGATCATCTTTGTTGCTCTTCTCTGTACTCTTTCTAGAGTTTCAACATCAAATACATGCTGGTTGTCAAGTGCCCAAATTTTGATCACATGACCATGGGGATGCTATGATGGTCATAGGTGCGAGGACCAGTCGTAAGTCAGGTTTTTTCAGTGCTGTTGTAACTCTGACAAGTCGCTAAATGTAAGTCAAAGAACACCTGTGCTTACAAACAGCACTTTGGATCCAAGGCCAAAATGGTGTTTCAGAGGAGGTATGGGATCTTTTGAGAGAGAGCAACAGAATTTCATTTTTAATGTGGGCCAGTATGCTCATAGTAAAAAATGACAATAAAGGTTATTTTAATCTAATCTTAATATTTGTAACTCAGGAAGGAACTGTCCTTGGTGCTCTTTGAGCTTGATGGTTTTCTTGCAGACATTTCTTTACCAAACTAGGTAACATCATCAGTGCTAGCCCATCATTCACCAACTATCACTCACCTGCATAACTTCAGATCCAAAGCATTGAATCCCACCTTATTTGACACTATGTTCCAGAATTAAAATGTTTTTAAATGGTTTTTGAAAAACCATGTCCCTTTAAACACTGATCAACTGAAGCCAGCAATTTTAAAATAGTTTTTAAGAGAAAAATACCAGGGGTGCTCTTACTGCAAAGAGAGAATATCTAAATCTAATATAAGTCCTATCTTCAGGTAGCAGCACATTTTGTTGATGTGGACATAAAATGTAAAAAATTATACACCGTACTTTTGTAGATCTAAGAGATGAGACTAGAAGTCCCAAAGACTCACCAATGCAGCGGTTCTCAACCTATGGGTCGCGACCCCATTTGGGGTCGATCGACCATTTCACAGGGGTCGCCAAGCAAGCCTGTCCGCCATTTTTTTTTCCCTTTTCCGGCGGGTGCCTTACCTCCCTTGGGCTGGGCCAGCTGATGGTCGGCCTGCTCTGTTTCTGCCGCTTGCCAGCTACGCCTCGGCCGGTGCAGGGGGCGGAACCACGCATGCGCGGCGCTCCCGGGCAGGGAAAGTCCTTGACTTACGACCGGTTGGGTAGTCCTCAACCTACGACCGGTTTAGTCCTCGACTTACGACCGGTTTAGTCCTCGACTTACGACCGGTTGGGGGTCGCGGCATTAAAAAGGTTGAGAACCACTGCACCAATGCAACATGTTACTTTATTTCAATCACTTATTCCATTCAATGAATCCCCAAACTAGCTTACAAACTTTCCTAAATTTAAAAAAGCCATTGAACGATTTAGCATGGAAACCTCTGACACAAAGAAAACAAAAAACAAAGCAAAACATAAAGGTAAAAATGAATACATATAAACTATTTTTACTTCTTGCATCAAATCAAAAACCATGTCTTTTTACACTTCCTACGTTTTTCAGGACTTCTGCTTCAGAAAGCACATACATAAGCAATTTTGTAATTCAACCCAATTCAGTCAAGTGTTATTTTAAATATCTTATTTTTTCTTCTTCTAAGTGTAAGTGTTCTAAAGAAGCAGCATAAAATGAAAGACTGCATTATGAATTGGCAGCAGTATTTCATGCTGGCAAAAACGAAAATCAAAATATCTGTTTCCCCTGATATTAAAGGTGGCTTTCTGTAACTCTGCAGTAATTTACTCTTCAAGTAAATTTGTCTGTAACCATAAAAATAGGACAAAGTTCAGAATTTAAAAATACAAGTGGTGTAAGAGAAAAATAATGGACGTGTCAAAAAGAGCAGTTGCTAATTCTTTTTTAGGGCTACCTCTGTTGCCCTCTGTGGCTAATCGAAAGATGCTTATCTTCTCCAAAAGAAGATAAGGAAATAGAAGATTAAAAAAAAAGAAACAGAAAAATTAGTAAGTTGGGAAGAGCTTAGTAAATTTAAAAGACGCCTGAGGATGATTCTATAAACCTATGTTAGCATCCACCTTCGGAAGACAAAGCTTAGAAACAATGATAACACTGTTGTATTCATCGAAATTAAAAAGCAAATTAAGTTTAAGGAAGTTAGAAAGTCAGGTATCTACATCAAAAAGGATGAGACCCTTACATTGTCCAAAACAGACACCCACTTGTGTAATAAAACTGTTTCTTCTCTAAAATTTGACAGTTCTATCAGCAGTATGTTATTATTATTGATTTGACTTTCATTCATTATTTCTATTTATTAAATTTACATGCCGCCCATGTCAGAATTTGAGGCACCTTTATCCCACCTTTATTATTGTTTACAAATAACTCAAGGCAGCAAACATTCTCCTAGTTTCCCAACAACAACAACAAATCTGTGAGGTGGGATGGGCTGGGAGAGATTGACTGGCCCAAAGCCATCCAGCCAGTGTTTCATGCCAAAGGTGGAATTAGAATTCAGGGCCTCCTGGTTGATTTTTTTTTTTCATTAGGGGAAGAGGCTCCCAAATGAGAAACATCCTTCTTCCTATCTGGAATCCTTCCATTCCCCACTATTCAGTTGGAACTGAAGAAGCCTCTTGGATGAGAAGCAAAACATTTTCAAGGAATGTTGCCTTTTGAAAAAGCTCCTTTGGTCAGTTAGAGGGAAGCCAGTGTAGAATAAAACTGGGAAAGACAGTTGCACAGAATGCCTTACCATTTGGAAAAGATCCTATGGCAGCAGAAGGAACTCCAGCATAAATGCCATGGAAACCACCAGCCTTTTTAAGTCCTTGAGGACTCTGCAATCTAGTTTTGACTGTATCCAAAGGAAATAATGTCAGATCCACACACACACCAGCTAGCCCGCCAGCCTTCAAAAAATAAAGATACAAGCAAAAAAAAAAAAGCATTATTAATATCAACAAAAAAGAAAACCAATGATTTGTCAGAAATAAAAAACATACTAAATAAGCCAATTTATTTGAAAATCAGCCTTTGATACGGACAGCCCAGTATCTAAGTTCCTATTCTGTTCTGGGCTACTAAGTAATTCCAAGTCATCATTTTCAGAATGGGAATCAAGCAGCTACTTTTTCCAGCAAAACAAAAATTAAGAAGAATAATTATTAATGCTGGAGAATGAAAGTTCAATTAATATTTAACTTGTAGCTATACAGAATTATTATTGTCCCACTCTGATTTATCTAAAAGGGGGTTTACAGTAAAAATAACAAAACATGCAAACAAATTAAAAATACTTTCCAATATGATACAACAGGACATGTGGGAATGACACTCCCAGAAGTAGGTACCTACACTGAATGTTTGAAAACAAAATAAATGAAAGTTATGGATTTAAATCGTGTCATTTGGGAAGAAAAATAATTAACTCCACATTTTATCATTACTTCATTTGGACATAATTGCTCTTTTCTAGTTTGGATGAAATGACAGAAGCAAATCAGCTCTTCCAATATTGATGGTAAAATCCAGGAAAGCTCATTACAATATGCAAACATGATGTCAACATGATGTGCCATTAGCACAAGAAACAGTTCTGAAATATAAATATGCGGCACTAACAGCCACAAGATGTGATCAGATAGCTAACATTTATCCAGTGACAACACTGCGCTAAGCCTAAATTATAAAGTGTCTGCTTATTGCTTCTGTCTCAGTTGGGACCAAGGAGAGATTAAGGAACAAAAAATGTAACTTCAATAAAGTGGGTGGGTAAAGAGCATCAGATTAAGGACCGAGGCTTTAAACGTTTTTGTCACGCAGACAAAATTTATCACAACCACTGTATATAATTTGCAAGATTTTTCACCTTTCTGAAACAAGAAATATTTTTATAAATCTATTCGTAAGTCTCTGGAGATTCTCAATCATCCAGGTCATGGTTGACCCAAAGGTGCTTCTCCAAAAGGCAATCAGTCTTTCTTGGTTCATTTATTTATAAAATGTATTGGCCACCCATCTTACCACATAGTAATTCTGGGCGGCCTTCAAACATTTTGTTTCTCACCCAAGAAGGGAACGTAGGGAATGGAAGGATTTATATTCTTTGCAGTCATCTGAAAAAGTCCTTTTGGAAAAGTACCTTTAGTCTTAAATCTGAAAATTGACTTAGTTACCATGCACCCCAAAACATAGCACAAATCTCCCCATTTAGTATAAACAACTCATTCACCATGAGCCTTGCATCAGGCAACCCCAAATGATAATTTCAGCTGCCAGCAATCAAGAGTTCACTGCAGTACAGGTAGTCCTCACTTATTGACAGCCTCATTTAGTGATCGTTCTAAATTACAATGTTAAAAAAAGTCAGCTTTGCAGCCAGTCCTCACATTTACATCCTCTGCGACAACCTGCATTCACATGGTTACCATCGGGCTCCTCACAACTGCCATTTATAATTATAGCATCTTACAGTCACGTGATTGTGGTTTGTGCGCTTCAACTCTTAAGCAAAGTTAAACAGAGATGGCAGAAGTAAAATTGTAAGTTGCTTTTTTACTTCTTTTATCTTTCTATTATTTTTAATTTTACTCTATATTATTTCATGTTTATCTTTTACTTATGTGAAAATCTGTAATATTTATGAAAAGAAGACTAATGATGACTTAGAAAACAAAAAAATAAAATCCTTAAGACAATTAAAATCAGCAACAAAATCACAAAACAGGTCCCAACATCCATATTAAATGGCCACACCGACTTTAGAAGTGACATTTAATTAAAAATTCTCCAGATGAACACAACTTTGAATTTCGTCCTGAATGCAGTACCAGCCAAGCACAAACTGAAAAATATCAAGATCTGGTACTCCTCCCCAAATTTCCAGCAGTGGAGAAACTCTCAGTATCCTATCTGGGGACAAACATAGTAGAAGGATCGGTTCTGAAAGAAGCAGTTCTGCAAATGTTTAGGCAATAAAACAATTTTATAGAGTAAGGCGAGCATTCTGAATTAGGCTCAGAAGGCTATAGGAAGCTAATGCGGGGGGGCCAAAATGGGTCCTATAGCTTTTTATGTGCCATCACCATTACTCAGCTTCTGAGTAGTCTTCAAAGGCAACCCCAAGCATAGGGCACTGTAGAAGTCAATCTTAGAGGTGATAAGATGGTAGGTAACTGCTATTCAATAGCCCAAATTGGGCAAAAACCCCACAAGCAATTACCTATCTAGCAGTAAGTCTAGAGGTGTCTCAAGTCACAAATCTGCTCTTAGTGGAAAGTTGTTTCCCATCCAGAGTTATAACTAGAGCAGGCAAAGGCCAAATAGTTTCTGAAAAAACATAGCACCTCTGCTTACTGGAATTAAAGTCAGCTCCTTCCCATCCAATCCTTGCAGTATCCAATCCTTGGGTCAACACTTCTATTATATTCTTTACTTGTCCTGGGATAGGTATCATCAACAACCCTCAATGGCACCTCAAAATAGTTCAACATCCTGATGGATGACCGCCAACACTAATTCAGGAATGAGCAAAGGATTTATCAAAGAAAAATGAAAAAATAATAAGCAACTGTCATTAATTTTAGTTGACATAGAATTAGTTTGCCTTGCATTATTGGGTTCTTTTTCAGCAGACATCGAGGATGGTCATCTTCAGCCATGATATCTCATTCAAAAAGTGCTCACTTGCTTCAGTTAAAATTTTAATCAATAAGTTAATTACTCTTTTAATCTGCTTGGCTATTTTGCATGCATTGATTTCACTACTCCCTATCCTTTTAGCTCTTTCTCCATCAGAATTCTTATCTGTAGCAAGTGATTAAGAGAAGAAAAAGAAAATTGATCTGGTTTTAATCTAGCCATCTGGCAAAAGCATGAATCAAAAGTTACTAATTGGTTCTTTGGATTTGAAACTTTTGTATCTTAGACGTAATTTAAATTCATGAAGTAGCTAATGGAGCACCTGCCAGAGAGTACAAATACCTGGATGCCTATTTTAACTGTGGAAAACAATAATGATTTTTTAGACAGCAAAGGAACATTGATACCCTTTCTGGAACTACTTCTATAGTTCTGAAAGTGAGAAATAGAAAGCTTTGCACAGAACTTGATTTTTTTTATGCCATTTCATTATTTCTGGACAGCAGGAGACAGTTTTAGACACCTGAATACCTAAGAAAAGGTTTAATATGCTCATATTCTTTTGAACAATATATTGACTACATGAAAACTGAAGAAACAGATTCTTCTTAACAAAGGAATAAATTTACCGGGGTTATTGTATTTGTAAACAACCAGAAAAGTAAAAAGCAATCTTACGAAAGGAGGGACTCTGAAAAAGATGACAGAATTTAAAATACCTACAAAGAATTAAAATCATTTATTAAGCCACATAGTTACAAATTGCTAATTAAACATGATATGGAGACAGAGCAAATAATAAACTATATCAGGGGTGTCAAACTCAATTTCATTGAGGGCCGCATCAGCATTGCGGTTGCCCTTGGGGGGGCGGGGTGTGTGTGGCCAGGATGGGTGTGGCCTACTGGGTGGGTGTGGCCTACTGGGTGGGCGTGGCCAGGTCTACATCATTCATGTCAAGGGTGCCTGATATATTTATTTTACAATAATAAGCAAGAAATATCACACCACAAAGCTCTAAGTGGATAAACCCCATTAAATTTTCAATCCCTTCTAAGTATAGTAATATACAGAAGGCTGAATAGTGGATATATTCAATTAATTATAGTTCTCATTCAAACTTCATATACAATTCATTGGGAGGGAACTAAATTATTTTTATTAACACATTTTAAAGCACATGCATGTGTTTGTAATCTATTTATAATCAAGATGTCTTCTAGTCAAGCTGTTTCAGGGGATTGCATAGACACATCCATGCAAGTTTTCTCTGCAACAAAACAAATAACATTGCTTTTTTTCCAACATCCTTTTTTTTTAGCAATCCCAAATCATTGACGGTCTTCCATCGAAATATTAATCAGGATTCCCAGTAGTTTTTGAACCCAGACAATGCAGCCATCGGCTGAATCTATCATATTTGATATAAAAATTATTTTAAACAGGTCTGGTGCAGGAAGATAGCTAGCAGCAGCATGATTAGGAAACTTATTCAATATCAAAAAAGTTCAGTGTCAAAAGGAAACTGAATTCAATCCAAATCCAGTAATTAAAAATACTGCAATGTGTTCCATTCCCAGTATCTACAGAATGTGTATCTCTTTAATCCTTCTTTTTACTAAACTACCAGTTCTGAACTGCAAAAATCCGGGTGACACCAGATGGTAGCAAAAAAGACTCCCACTGGGAAGTTGTCACATTTTCGCTCCATTCCCCTTCATCTTGACTTTGCATATATGCCTTTTGATCTTTATAAACTGTGAAGATGTCAGCAAAATGTCCTGCACACCGAGTGAGGATCGTATACAAAATCAGACGATCATGGAGGTTTCAAAAGGGTTTAGCAGGCACAGGGCTATGCAGTTTAAAATTCATAATTAAAAGATTTTGTCCTGAAAGCCATTTCAAAGGATCTTCCACCGATAACCAAGTTTATCTAGCGCGGACTGTAAGTCTCCTTCACTCACCACAAGGGAGACCAAGAAATCCCCACGATCCATGCGTGCTCAGAAAACCATCGAGACGCGGCAACTACATTACAACTTGCTTCCCATGGGCGCAGCCATATTGGAAGCTTGCCCCGCCTCCCTTTAATATCACGTGAGCAGTTACGGCTCAGCAGCTCTGACAGATTTTTTTGTCCCAGTGGCGCATGCGCGCTTCCGATAAGTACTTCGCATGTCTTTTCTCGATTCAGAAGTGGATTAGGGGCACAGTTATTGAGGAAGTGTGTTTACTCAAATCGTGGGAGTGGGGATTTCTAAATATTGTATGCAATATTCAGCTTTGACTGTGCAACAGAAGGCACGTTTTTCAAGTGTTTCTGCAGCGAAGAAATGCTGTTTGTAAGGCAATGCAGAGAAAGTAAGCAAACTCTCCCGCTCCGTTGTCTAAATCAGTGTTTCTCGAGTTCAACAACTTTAAGTTGTGTGGACTTCAACTCCCAGAATTCCCCAGCCTTCATTTAAGACTCCAAACATCTCAAAAGTTAACTGAACTTGAGAAACAACCGCTCCAAACGACAAAGGAAATGGCAGCAAAAGGATACTGATAATCTGAGCAATTGAACAGGTGTTTGCAGCCCAGATATTGTAGCTGTAAACATCCCACGTTTCCCTTTTAGGGTTTAAAATTGCAAGCAATTGTTATTTTTTCCTTCAATAACATTGATGCTTCCAGTTGGCTCATTTTCTTTTATTCTGGTTATAAACATTTCCAAAGGTTAAAAAGCCAAACGTTTTCTCTCTGTAAACAAAGATGTATTGACAGCTGTGAAATAGTACATGTGAGATATAACGTTTAATTATAACACAAAGGGGGATTTGTTTTGCTTGCTTGAAGCTGATAAATGATATGTAACTATAATCTGAAGGTGATAATCTTCAGTTAATTCATGGACAACCCTACAAAAGCCTTCCCCCAACCCACAAAGGGTGGAGACAGCTGTTAGAGGCTAGTTGCACAACCATCTGTGAGAAAAAACCCATAATTAGTTTTGATTGCAGTACATGTTGGAGAGATGCATTTTCTAGAGCAGCAGCATTTTCAGTACTTAGCACATACACAGTGGGTACCTGGCTGTGGTAGGGTCAACAAACTAAAATTAATACATATCCATTAACACTTTTTCTGTTCCAGATAAGAAATTATGCAGACGGCAGAAAAGCAGTAAAAACAAACCACAAAAATTAAAGGCATGAGAGAAGAAAATAAAATTGCCAATCTCATTCTCTATGCTTCTCCGTACCTTTATATGCTTGCTTCAACTATATCCATGTGCTGCTTTATACACTGTCTTTTGCTCTCTAAACTTTCTCGCCTGTTGGTCAGCTTCCTCCAACCACAACTTCTCATATTAAAAAGAATAACTGTGGTTTGTTGGCTCCTGCTGTAATAGCACGTGTCTGTATATTGTTCCTGGGTTTTGATATTGTAGCTAGTGTAAGATAAACCTCCATTTAATATAAACCACTGTTTACTGTGTTTACTCCTGGGTTTAATCCTCATGTAATAAGACTATGCACGCTCTAACAGACATTCTGATAAGAAAATGCCCAAAGGAATATAGAGGGAAAAGATAAAACAGGGAAGAAATATCTATGCCAGTTACATGTAGTTTATAGTAAAATGCATAGATATAGTTTAAAATAAGATTTAGGGCCAACCAAGTTGGATTAAATGCTTCATAAGAAATAAGTCTTTTGAGAAGGATTTGAAGGAAATGAGCATTTTCTTCTGGTAGGCTCTGAGGGCATTTATTTCCTTTTTTATTTTAATTTAGTCAATAGACAATTTTGAATAATGTAGCAATAAAAAATAAAACCACTCCCTTTTATATAGTGCATAAACAACACAGTGACAAGCAGATCTTTCCATGATGAGAAGTTCCTCTGATCAAGTCTTTTTCAATTATCTGAACAGTCTTTTCAGCTGAAGCTGATAGGCAGCTGAAATTGAGGTAAGATTTATTAACTTTGATAAAGGATTTTCTCATATTTGCTTTGGCTGAATTATAAAAGATTTATTTATAAACAGACTTGTTAAGAGAAATGAAGTCTGCCATCACTGCTGGCAGTGAGTGATTTAGCAGCTAAATGGCGACTTCCATTAAAGAGATGGACTTTTGAAAGAAATTTCATACATGCAAAGAATCCCATTTATTCCTGTGCATTGAACAGAAATCAGCCCTTGTAAAACTTAGTAAATCTATTTACATCACTGCTCTCTTAACAATCTGAGGATGTTAGTATCAGAAAATGAAAATCTGCTTTATACACAGATTTAAACAACAGGTTCATCTTATTCAGAAAAGAATTTCTCCAGATATGTCTTATGTAAAAAATGTGTCTGACTTCTAAGCCACTATAGATTCTTAGAAAGTGAGAACAGAATAAAAGAATTGGAAGGGACCTTGGAGGTCTTCTAGTCCAACCCCCTGCTAAAACAGGAGACCTATACCACCATTTCAGACAAGTGGTTGTCCACTCTCTTTTTAAAAACCTCCTGTGATGGAGCACCCACAGCTTCTGGAGGCAAGCTATTCTCCAAAGCACCTGAAAGCAGGACAAGAAGCAATGGGTGGAAACTAATCAAAGAGAGAAGCAACCTAGAACTAAGAAGAAATTTCCTGACAGTTAGAACAATTAATCAGTGGAACTACCTGCCTCCAGAAGTTGTGAATGCTCCAACGCTGGAAGTTTTGAAGAGACTGGACAGTCATTTGTCTGAAATGGAATAGGGTTTCCTGCCTGAGCAGGGGATTGGACAAGACCTCCAAGGTCCCTTCCAACATTATTGTTGTTGTTGTTGTTGTTGTTGTTGTTATTCCATTCTCACTGTCAGGAAATTTCTCCTTAGTTCTGGGTTGTTTCTCTCCTTGATTAGTTTCCACCCATTGCTTCTTGTCCTGCCTTCAGGTGCTTTGGAGAATAGCTTGACTCCCTCTTTTTCGTGGCAACCCCTGAGATATTGGAACACTGCTATCATGTCACCCCTCGTCCTTCTCTTCATTAAACGAGACAAACACAATTCCTGCAACCACTCTTCATAGGTTTTTAGCCTCCAGTCCCTTAATCAACATTTGTTGCTCTTCTCTGTACTCTTTCTAGAGTCTCAACATCTACAAAATGTTTGAAACACGAACATTCAATTTTGCTTATATTATGGTTACTCCCGTTGTCAAATCAGCACCCCCAAGCGATCCTAGGTGGAAGGGCGGGAATTTTGTCTGAATTATTGTGTCCTTTCTATAGGGTTGGGATGAATAAAGACATGAAATCAGGCTAATAATATTAGTGTTGCATTTACACTACCATGCACACAAGACTGCACAAAGTTGTCATAAAGAAATTAGTAGTGGCAGTGACAAGATGAAAACACCATTTATTTATTTATTTATTTATTTATTTATTTATTTATTTAATTAATTAATTAATTCATATGCCATTAGGGTTCTGATGAAAGCAACATCAGGGTGTCATTTCACACCCTGTGCCGGTTTGTATATGCCACAAGGCTACTTTTATCAGTCTGACATCTTTTTCTCCTTCCTACTCTCCTAAGGACATCTGTGAAGACCCTTTCCCTTGTCTCTCTCACAATTTGCCCTAGTGGTCCAAAAGAGCTTATAGGTATAAATAGATGACACAATGTGCAACAGATGTCCTGTGTTCTAATTTACTATTTTCTAAACTAGAGCTGTCCAGGACATTGGAATTACAGCTCCCTGGATTTCTAATTAGTGTAGAAGTTGTCATTCCCATTGTAGGCATCAGTTTGGGGAAAGAGTGTAATTACCCCTGAATTGCCAATCAAATCCTTCTTGACATTTTGCTATTTCATGGATTAATGAGGCTCAACAGGTAGTTGCAGGGGGGTAGTGAGTTTCTGAATTCAGAACCAACTCTTCTCTTGGACTAATTTGCATGCACTGAGCGCACCATGTTTACAAATCTATATAAATAAAAATGTAAATGTTTGTTTGTTCAAAATCTTAAATCTCCGAAAGTTCTTCACCGATTGCTTTGAAATTTTGACACAATGTTGCATTCGAATACGCGCGTGTTTTTATATACCTATATTATATAGATGTCACACCTGTGACAGGTAAAAACATGCTTTTTTAAAAAAACAGCGCCATCTGTTGGATGTAAAAGCAACACAAACGTGCGCTTTCTGTTTTCTTTCTTTTCCATTTAACCAGACTGAGCCACAGCAACGCGTGGCCGGGTACAGCTAGTTTAAAATAAATATTTTAACTGGTGTTTTTAAAAGTGCAAATCTCATTAAAAAAGTTGAGTACAAGTTTTAAAAATAATGTCAGAGAGAGAGAGAGGGAGAGGGAGAGAGGGAGGGAGGGAGAGAGATTTGCCACTATCCCTCCTTTTATATGTTAATGATCTTTTATGCTGACATGAGATACAGAAATGTCAATAGTGGAAATCCATACTTTACTACCATAGTGCAGTGTATGCATATAATAACTCTGGTCAAGGGGTACTACTGGCTGATGATCTGAGAACTGCTTTTGTTCATAAAATCATCTTGCAAAAAAAGTGGGTGGTTTTGGGTGGGGAGGGGGGATAGCTGGTAAAAAGTAAGATTAGAGTGATTTGGCTAAAGTATTGTGGTAAATTTAATCTAAACAGATGGGAGAAAACAGCCAGCCAATCAGCTAATGGCTTCTCCAAGTGCTTAACACTAGAAACACCTGTTTCACAACTCATAAAGAAAAATGATTAATGAATATGTCATTTTTTCACAATTAGAAAAGAACTGGAGTTCTACAGTTTAGTATCTCAGCTTGGCTGAGATTTAAGTTCTTTTCTGGATGCCTGGTTAACCTGAGACTCATCTCCCAAGTATTAGTTAGGCTTCAGTCCATTGACTTGAGCTCTGAGACAGATAAAAACTGCAAATGAATAAGTGAAACAGCAAAACACATTTCCTGAGACGAAGCCCTCCAAGGACAGATATGAAGAGAGGTTTGGCATTAATGGAT